CTAAGAACAAGATGGAGCAGAATGCCTCAAAATAACCCAAATAACGCAGGCAATGCTGCTGCTGCCGCTGGTACGGTAGAACCTTATAGATTAAGCGGAGTACGATGGTAACCAAATACTTCTTAACACTTTTATTCAAGCATGTAGCACTGCTTTTAACATGGCTATATGTAACCAAAAAGTTTTAGTTACTTTACACATAAAAAACAAATTAAAAGGCCCTGCTGCTGAACTTATAAATTCCCGCGAACCTAAAACCTGGCAAGAAATTAAAACCTTGCTTGAAAATCATTTTGGTGACACACGCGATCTCTTTAATTCAAGATCTGCAAAGATTAAAACAATCTTCTAACAAATCTCCTTTAACCTTTGTTGCTCGTTTACAAACGCACAAAGCAAAGTTATACGCTTCTATTAACAAACAAACCCTTACAACTGTAAAAAAAGCCACTCAGACAAAACTTCAATGGCTTTGAATACTTTACTTGCCGGACTTGACCCGAAAATGGGTCAAATTGTTAGAGCTAGTAACCCTCCAGACATTTTAACTGCTACCAATAGAATTAGACGCGAACAATTAAATTATTTTGAAAATCAAAAATTTAACCTAAACCGCAACACAAATATACCACCTCGTAAACAAAATCAGACAATAAAAACTGTTCAATTTGTAAACGACATGGACAGTTTCGATCCCAACCTCAACTTCCCGGAACAAAACTTCCTTACTTTCAGTAAATTCAAAAAACATATATTCTACATTTAAATTTTTAATTGACACCCTAGCAGGCTTATCAATCTTTAAACCCAACATTTTTCAAAACTTTCCCCATAGATCCCAAGAAAATGTAGTTATTCAAGGAACTACTAACCAAAAAATCCACATTAACGAATCCACTCTGGTTCCATTCAATTTAAAAGACCCTCACAAAGTATAGATTTGCAATATTAAGATTGACTTTGGCGGTTTACTTGGATCCGACTTTTTAGAACACTATCAGTGCATAGTGACCTAAAAGACAGACAATTAATAACAAATTTTAAAACTATACCTTTGATTAAAGGAGAGAAAGATACACCAATTGAAAACCTATCCTTAAATTCAAATTTAATCACATTAGAACCGCGTACGGAACAAATTTGTTAACTTAAATGTAATTTTTCTAATTCCGAAGCTATTTTAGAAGCTACGGAAATTGATAAAGTAAGTCTACCTAATGCTTTAGTCAAAATTGAAACTCGAACCTATTTAAAATGTTTCAATCAATAATTTAAACGAATGTAATTTTAACTTACAACCGGATAAAGTTTTAGAAATTAAAAACCAACTTCGTTTAGAACACTTAAACGAAGAAGAATCGGAACTTATTACTGAACTTTGTTTAAACTACTCAGACATTTTCCATCTAGAAGGCGACAAATTAACCTTTACTAATGAAATCAAACACACTATCGACATAAAATCAGAAAAATCCACCTTCGTCTTACCGTTATCCTCAAATCCACAAAGACGAAGTTAAAACCCAAATATCAAAAATGTTAGACCAAGGAATCATTCCACATTAAAATTCTCCCTTTTAATCAACAGTCTGGGTCGTTCCTAAAAAAAAATGGACGCATCTGGAAAACAAAAATGGAGAGTAGTTGTTGACTACAGAAAACTCAACGAGTTAACTGTGGAAGACAACTACCCTTTACCGAACATGTCCAACCTCCCTGATCAACTGGGCCAGTATTTCTCAACATTAAACCTTGCCTCTGGTTTTCACCAGATTGAAATCGACCCCAAAGATATTCAAAAGACCGCTTTCACAGTAAAAAATTTAAAAGTGAAAACGACTATTTTATTAGTAAAAACTGCTGGTACTAATTCGAATAGTAGAATTTTGACTATTTCATTTTTATAGAGTACCAATATTAGAAATGCTATCCTTTCTTCTTGCAGAAAAAAAATTAAATTTAAAGTCTTTCAAAACGTCACAAAAACACCTGACTGATCAAATTCCAATAATTTTAGATCAACTTCACTTCGGTAAAGCCAACCTTAACCGTGGAATTAAGGAAACCATACGTAGAATAAAACAAAAATATAATTGGACCGGACTCACAAAAAACGTAGAAAAATTAATAAAAAATGTACTACTTGCCAAAAAACTAAAGCTTATCGAAAAATCCTCGACCGACCTTTTGTCACCGAAACACCTAGAACACCCTTCGAACGCATTAACATTGACATCCTAGAAGTCCCTAGTAGAAATAACGCTCTTACCATCAAAGATGAACTGAGAAAATTTAGCCAAGCTTATCCAATTAATGACAAAAGTGCAAACAACTTACTTCTATACTTCCAACATTCTGGCACCCCTCTTCGTATTCATTGTGACTACGGTAGAGAATTTGACTACAGCCTCCTAAGAGACTTATGTAATCTTTAGGACATAAAATTAATGTATTCTAGCGCAGGACACCCACAATCAAATGGTTCCCTCGAATGATTTCATTCCACCTTATTGGAAATGATAAGAGTTTACTTAGCCGGACACCCAAACGAACACCATTTTAACATAATGCCGTAGTTTGTTACAACAACTCGAATATAACAAAAGTCCAAAACCCGTTTCGATCAACATGTTCATGATAATCTTCCAAATTATCAAGTAGGTGACAAAGTTCATATAAAAGAATTCCAAATAAAAAATAAATTATAAAATAAGTTTTATGGTTGTTTTGAGATCTTAGAGATTTTAAATTATTCTTTATGTTTCTGTGTGCAAGTAGTGTCCATTGGGCTTTGGAAACAACGATATTCCCAAGGTTGTTAATGGGTTCTATTCGGTATTGGCAGAGTGCTGTACCAATCAGCATTAAGTACCTAAAAATAATTAATTTTCAGAATAGGGTCTCATTCGGTCAAAATTGAATTTTGTGTGTTGATTTGTTTGGGTATTTAAAAGTATAGCGGATTCGCTATGCTTTTAAATATTCACAAATAGCTCAGTATTTGGAAATCATAGAACTCCAAGCGTACCAAACAAATCATGATCTTGTTTTTGTTCTAAAAATCTCTTTAATTTAACAAAACATTTACACCCTTTACCATTTATATTCTATTCCTCTACCTGATTAAAGAACTGGTCTTTATCACGTAAGTCAAAAATATATCGCCCGAAACGATGATTCTTTAATGTACTCTTTAAATGTATACATTCCCGTTAAGAATTCAGAAGAATGCAAGTAGCTATCACCAGGAAGAAAACTGTGCTCCAACCTGTACGCATACCCAATAGACAATAACGCCGCGTGTGAAGTGCAATTGTTAAAAACCAACATGAACGTTCCGAATAACTGTCATAGTGCCTTAATTTACGGACAAGGTTATAATGTGCAAAACTTAAAGGACAATACATGGTTAATTAGTACGGCCGAACTTGTTCAAGTGTCTATAAACTGCAAAAACATAAACTCTGAAATATTGGTAATAAATAAAATCTCTTTGTTAAAACTTAAACCTGTGTGCCAAGCCTCCATCGGTATTATAAAAATACAAGCAGAAGCTACCAAGACATCCGACGTAATCGAAAACCCTCAACCCGTTCTCGTTCCATACAATATATAACTCCCTTAATTAGAACCTTTAAAAATCAATAAATCAAAAATGAAAGAATTGGAAATTGCCAACCACAAACTTCAACAATATTAAAGAGATTAGGATAATCTTATTAATCAACCTTTCATCGAGAAAAATATATCATGGTTTACTTATTTGACTATAGCTCTGATAGTCATTATCATTGTTAAATATGTAACAATAAAATTGTGTAAAAAATTTAGAACAACAAGAAAAACTATATCCGAATCCAATGATAACTTCTCTGAAATCCAACTTAGCGAAAAAGTTGCTGCATAGCATCAACTTTTCATAAATAAGGGGAGCTGTTATTATAATATATCTTCATATTATGTGATAAAATGATAATACCATAGACTTCACGAAAGTAATATTTCGCTATATAATTAGATTAGATTATAATCGGAGAAGATAACAAGGTATCGAATTCTCTGGGAAATGCAACTCATCATTTGAGGAGTGATTTTTCAAAAGGCCGTATTTCCATTTTTACTTGAATGTCATTTTTCGACAAAATCACAAAGGTATGGTTAGAGAGGCATATATTAAATGGTGAATATGTTGCACAAGATGTTGAATGTCAAGAATATGATGAAGAAGTGATGTGTTTATGTAATGAGCCAGAGATGAATATCCTTAAAATATAAGCCTTAGGTATATAATAATAATAAATGTTCTTTATTGAAAAAAATACATTTTTCAAAAGGCCATTGACTTTCGTGCTTCAGCCGGACCTTAGGTATATATTTTTCAATATTGTTAGCACAGTAAAGATATTTTTCCATATATTTTTTTTTAAATGATATTCAATAAAAAAGTAATATTTCTAAGTTTGTACACAGCAAAAAGGCACATTTCCAAAATGATTTCATACAAAAGGTCTTATTTCCAAATAATTTTTAAAAATACCATTGCTATAAATATTTAAACTTAAACCACCAATACGACACCAGGTCTGAAGTAGTATTATATATTCATCATATTTTTTTTTAATTATCTATATCGCCCTAACCTATACAGGTTTAATTTCTTTTTTTGAAAATGTGTTGCAAATGGAAATACAACCTTTTGAAAAATCACTCCTCATTTATTCAACGATAAGAACCCTGAAACAGCACGTACAACATATTTTAAAAACTTATAAATAGGAATGTCTTTGCTTTGTTAGTTTTGTAACATTAAGTACTTAATAATTTTATATTGTTATTTTTGTTTAAATAAATTTGTGGTTTTTAAAAAAGTGAATTGGAAAATTTTGCGTGATAGCCACGTTCTCGTACTAAGCACGATGCTATCACGCGCAAGTTTTTCTAGTGAATTGGTAAAACAAATATAGAATAGTAGAAACTATTAATATTATTAATAATATTTATTAGCATTTTTTTAATAACAGTGCCAACAAAACTATTAAAGAAACCTTTGGCTCTGCTATGCAAGAGCTTTCCCTTTGCAATTGCGTTTTAATCCAGTCCTTATAATAAAACACATCCGTGTATACTGCTGGAGTTTTTGTGCAATACGGATAACTATGGAGCGTAAACGAAACTATTCCAGTCAATTTCTCAAAGCACATCAATCCGCCACCTGAATCACCAATGCAAACGCCTTGCTGAGGCTCTATGCCCTCTGCACAAATCATTCCTTTGCGGAGAGTACCAAAATAGGTGCTGCAAATTGCATTTAATACAATTTTTACGTAAACATAAGTCAATGTATCAGGCTTTAATGCCTTTTCTGAGGCTCCAAATCCTGCAATTAAGCACTCCGTGTCAGAAGGCACGTGCGAAAAATTAGATAAACTTATAAGGTTTACTGTATCATCAAAAGTTAAATATGATTTGAGTTTTATAACGGCGATATCGTGATCTTCTGGTCTTGGTTTTCCATACCGTTCGTGCACAAAAATGAAACCGACTGCATATATCCTCAAACTGTCTAATTTGGTACCATTTACACCTATTTGATAATATTTCTTGCGGGCAACGTTTGAAAAACAGTGAGCTGCTGTTAATATGTGATTTTTTGTTATTATAGAGCCACCACATATAAAGTGACCATTCTTAAAAATTGAGGCTTGATGACAAAATAATGTGCTGTTAGGCTCTATTCCTTTCCATATTCTTGTGTCTATTTTGGGAATATCTTCTGTTGCAATCCCAAATACTTTATATACAATCATAAAAATATAATATTTGTTTATGCTGTTCATTTTGTATTAAATAACCTCCAAATTTTGACGTTTCTCTACACAAACCTGGTTATTCAAGCTATAATCACTGATAATAATTATAATAAATTATTTATGTTGAACGCTACCAACTCTCATGATAAAATACAAATTTTGTTTAAAACGCCTTCCGAAGTTATTTAACAGATACATCTACGATACAATCTTTCAGAAACTCCAACTTGTTCTGTAAATTTAACTTTATAAAAACCTATCAAAAAAAGTCTAGTGAAAACTTGAGAATTGGTCTAAAATTTTTTATACGCAGTGCATAGTGTGTAGGTGCAGGTGAAATACCTTTTCAGACATTAGGTTTTTAAACAGTATAATAGAGTAAGAACTTTTGACCAGTGGCGACAAGTATGGCGATTGACATTTGAAAAGAAGTGGTAACATGGGAGATAGAAATTCGTAATAAAACAATTTCAAATTTAATGAAAAAAAATTCGGAATATCCTAAATGGTTTGTAATACCTTTTTAACAGCTTAGTACATAATAAGAAATAAATAATTAAAAATGTCTAAGGTATGAAACCTTAATGTAATAAAATAAAATAAAAGAACAAAAACATAATCTCCAGAACGTACTAAATCACTACCTAATGTCCTAAGAAGCACTTTAGTATTAAAAATGCAAATTTTCACTTTATTTTCTCAAAAAATTAGAATTGTTTATTAATTATTTATGATATAATAAAATTATTGCATTTTAAAGCAAAAATCCCCTATATGAAAAACTGTAAGTAAAAAAAGACCTTAAGATAAAAATACGTGATTTCTTTTTTTTTTGTTTAAAAGTAACTTATGTCCTCTACATTTTCTCAAAAAAATTATACTTTTTTATAGATTAATAGTATTTTAAAAAATTAATACATTAAAGGCAAAAATTCTCTATCTGGAAAACTTTTCGTTGTTACAGGCAATAGAAGAAGTTAGAATAAGTTAGGACATTTAAAAAAAAAATGAGGAGGCGGCACGATTAAAATTTCGACATCGGTGAAATAAGAACCACCCCAATATATATATATATATTAGGGTGAGCCAAAAAAACTAACCTATTGAATTTATGGGTTAAAATGAACCTATATACCGAGAAAAAAATGTCCCTGCGAGGCAGGATTTTTAGCTCAATTTTAAAAGGTGTCGCGACATGTCGGTGAGCATTTAAAGTTTCCCATTTAAATAACACGTAAAAAAATCTTCTTTTATTAAAAATACCATAACTTTTGAACCGTTTCCGATAAAAAATTTTGCGTCGTGGATTCTTGTAGAGCATAAAATTTCCCAAAAAATGTATCCCAGTATTATTTTTTTCAATTCAAAAATTCGTATGTTTGAAAGCTTTGAAACTAAAACTGAATATTTTGATTTTTTTCACTTTTCAAAGCTTTCAAATATACGAATTTTTTAATTGAAAAAAATAATCCTGGGGTAAATTTTTTTAGGAAATTTTATGCTCTACAAGAATCCGTGACGTAAAATTTTTTATCGTAAACGGTTCAAAAGTTATGGTATTTTTAATGAAAGAAGATTTTTTTACGTGTTATTTAAACGGGAAACTTTAAATGTTCACCGACACCTTTTAAAATTGAGCAAAAAATCCTGCCTTGCATGGACATTTTTTTCTCGGTACATAGGTTTATTTTAACCCATAAATTCAATATGTTAGTTTTTTTGGCTCACCCTAATATATATATATATATATATATATATACATATATATATATATTATATATTATATATATTACATACGTAAATATATATTATACATATACAATGTGTCCCCAGATAGGAAAACGTACTTTTGGAAAATTTTGCGTGATAGCCGTACTAAGCACGATGCTATCACGCGCGTTTTTCTGGTGAATTGGTAAAATAAATATACAATAGTAGAACATTATTGTTATTAATATTATATAATATTTATTAGCATTTTCTTAATAACAATGCCAACAAAAGTATTAAAGAAACCTTTGGCCCTGCTATGCAAGATCTTTCCCTTTGCAATTGCCTTTTAATCCAGTCCTTATAATAAAACACATCCGTGTATACTGCTGGAGTTTGTGTGCAATACGGATAACTATGGACCGTAAACGAAACTATTCCAGTCAATTTCTCAAAGCACATCAATCCGCCACCTGAATCACCATTACAAACGCCTTGCTGAGGCTCTACGCCCTCTGCACAAATCATTCCTTTGCGGAGAGTGCCAAAATAGGTGCTGCAAAATGCATTTAACTCAATCTTTACGTAAACATAGGTCAATGTATCAGGCTTTGATGCTTTTTCTGAGGCTCCAAATCCGGCAATTAAGCACTCCGTGTCAGAAGGCACGTGCGAAAAATTAGATAAACTTATAAGGTTTACTGTATCATCAAAAGTTAAATAGGATTTGAGTTTTATAACGGCGATATCGTGATCTAGTGGTCTTGGTTTTCCAAACCGTTCGTGCACAAAAATGAAACCGACTGCATATATCCTCAAACTGTCTAATTTGGTACCATTTACACCTATTTTATAATATTTCTTGCGGGCAACCTTTGAAAAACAGTGAGCTGCTGTTAATATGTGATTTTTTGTTATTATAGAGCCACCACATATAAAATTACCATTCTTAAAAATTGAGGCTTGATGACAAAATAATGTGCTGTTAGGCTCTATTCCTTTCCATATTCTTGGGTCTATTTTGGGAATATTTTCTGTTGCAATCACAAATACTTTATATACAATCATAAAAATATAATATTTGTTTATGCTGTTCATTTTGTATTAAATAACCTCCAAATTTTGACGTTTCTCTACACAAACCTGGTTATTCAAGCTATCATCACTGATAATTTATGATGAACGCTACCAACTCTCATAATAAAATACAAATTTTGTTTAAAACGCCTTCCGAAGTTATTTAACAGATACATCTACGATACAATCTTTCAGAAACTCCAACGTGTTCTGTAAATTTTACTTTATAAAAACCTATCAAAAAAAGTCTAGAGAAAACTTGAGAATTGGTCTAAAATTTTTAATACGCAGTGCATAGTGTGTATACACACTATGCACTGCGTATAAAAAATTTTAGACCAATTCTCACCTATAGGTGCAGGTGAAATACCTTTTCAGACATTAAGTTTTTAAACAGTATAATAGAGTAAGAACTTTTGACCAGTGGCGACAAGTATGGCGATTAACATTTGAAAAGAAGTGTAATAAAACAATTTCAAATTTAATGAAAAAAAAACTTTTAATTCGGAATATCCTAAATGGTTTGTAATACCTTTTTAACAGCTTAGTACATAATAAGAAATAAATAATTAAAAATGTCTAAGGTATAAAACCTTAATGTAATAAAATAAAATAAAAGAACAAAAACATAATCTCCAGAACGTACTAAATCACTACCTAATGTCCTAAGAAGCACTTTGGTATTAGTGGTTTTAAAATGTAAAAAGCTAGCAGCTCAAATAAAGGAAACAAAGAGAATTAAAGCAATTTAATCCCAAAAACTACATTATCCCACTACTACTTTTAAAACGCTATTGTGCTTAAGGTATAAATCTTATAAATCTGTCAAAAAATTACGAGCTAACATAACATATGATGGCAATTAATCTTTTTAGAATTTGATTCTTTAACTAAAGAAAATTGTTTTTTTGTGTCCTTTCCATTTTATTTTATGAAAGCCTTAAAGGGGGCGAATAAATGGAGTGATACGTTATTCAGACATGACATCACATCGCTTGACATTGTTAAGAAGTGGTTTTAACACTTAAGGTAGTATATCCATTTGAAGAGTTTGATAAATATAAACAGTAGGCCGTGACAGCAAATTCAGCGGTGTATAGGTATAATCAATTTTTAAGCCATCAACATGATCCTCTTTTAATTAATTTAATTTGTATTCTTATTAATATTAATATTAACATAACAATGTATTCCTTGTTCATCGCTCTCAGCTCCCAAATTTGGAGAAAATGAGTCAAAATGACTGTGAAGAAAATACATTTTTAATGACATGCGCGCACCTGATCAGCTGAAATATATTTATATACATATATTACTGTATATACAAACGTTTGTGTTAAAAATCGAAGCAAATTTAGGATTTATATGTTTTTAATAAAATTATCTGTTAACTGCGATCCTAAAACGATGTTAAAAAAAATTGTTTATATACTTAAGAAACAACTGAATATGAGTGATTTTTAAAAAAAGTTGAATAATGCACTTTTTATATACTTTCATCACCTGCAACCCAATAAATTTTAATTTTATTGATATCAACAGTATATCGTCGGAAAGAAGAAGAATATACCTATCGAATGAAAGTTAGTTTGATCAACCGCTCACGAGATTTCTATCAGTAAATAAAAGCAGAGCCAAACAACACGTTTTTAGCTTGGATCTAGATAACGCTTCTTTGAAAAAAAATAGGTGATTTTTTTTCAGCGACCCAAAATTGCTCTAGAAAAAACTGTTCTCATCTGGTTTATTTTTTGTGTAAACTAGTGTTATTTATAAAATTATTATTGTATTAGAAAAAATGTTGCATGACACTTTTTTGCACTAAGCTTTTTTAAAAAGTGTCGCTTTATATTCTTTTGCATAAATTACTATTTTCTATTTGTATACCACCGAGGGGTAAACCACTTTAAAATCTTAGAGACCAACGTTCAACGTTATATGGGCGTTGTGTTGTGATTTTTTCCTTATCAGTCGAGATCAATAATAAGGAAAACTGCTTATCAATAAGAAATTTCTTTTAGCGACGCGTTGCGCATGACTACCCTTGTTATTGTTATCCTTAGCCGTTAATTCGTAAGCGATTTTAGTGGTTTACACCTCGTATACCACCAAACGATACGCATTAATACGAATTTTTCTTATAATTTTAATAGAATAGTATATTAAAGAACTAATGTCATAAGACATTAAAAGGTCTTATGACATGAGTTTTTTATGCTATTTTATCTATTTTGCAAAAA